AAAGAAAGAAGATATTAACCACGTGTTTGCAATTAGTAGGTACCTGGACAAAATGGACACATGTTGTGTGTCCTCCTTGTTACGTCACTTTAACGCATCTCCTAGGCACTCACGATCAGTAGCACATGTTTCTATCTGGGAAATCCCAAAGAAAGTTTTGCATATTAGGAATCTCCTTTGCAATACAGACAGAATGAGCTACTTATTAATCCAGGTAAAATACATGGCACAATGTAAGCATGGCTGGTTAGCTCAAAAACATGTTTTCCCATACTACACCACAATAACCTTGTTATCCAAAAGCAGAGGAGACAAAATAATTTAAAATGAATGGGCTTGCTATACTTCATGAAATAAATGACGTGGAAGAGATAAAGCTATATAATGAGTTTTCAAAATAAAATACATGGTCTAGGAAAAAACAATAACACAAGAACTGGAAATAAAAAATCTCAGTGCTACAGAGACTCCACCATGGTCATACAGAAACCCAGCAGCCTCACACATCAGTATATAATGATCTAAAATAACTTACATGTGCACTTAACTATTTGAATTCATAGAACTGCATTTGCAGAGCATTTACAGTCTTTTGTGGTACAAAGACCCAGACCTAGTAAGGTAAATTTATGTATCTATTTTTGCAGCTATACAAAATTTCACTGACTTCAGTTTAGCCCTAAATGGTTGTAGAAAGTTCTGCTGTAGAGAACATCTGAATCTTACCAGAGGATCAGTTCCCTAATATTAGCTTAATAAAAGCATATATATAAAGTATATATATACACACATATACATACTTACTTACATATAAGTATTTAAGACTATGAAAACCCATTTCTTCCTTGCATAACATTTTTTTTCAGTGAATGGGAAAACATTTTGGACTAGATTTGAAGGTTATGTTACAATTTGGCAACTCCTTCCCCTGCATTCAGCATGTGGTCTTTTTACACAAAGAAGAGGTTAGCACACATACTCCCTGCCTGAAACTGAGGATTCATAAAGTGAAGTTACACTGCCCACGGAAACATGATTCTTGTTTAAACAGTATTATCAACAGCAGTTTTAAAAGTCCTACTCTGAAGTGACTGAACAGAGCATTCTTTAAATAATATACCCTAGTAGTCTGAAAAGTTGAATTAAAATTTGTTCACAGGGTTATCTAATCTCCCGTTATTCATCAGAGTCTTTTCAGACAAGAAAACTTGATTTAATTTTCAAACAAACCCCTACATTTCTTACAAATCACTAATGACTTCCTCTGCGTACATTAGAGAGGCTGATTTTGGGAAAATGTTAAGTATCCCTGTTTTGACACCCAAAACTTTCACAGAAGGAGGCCACTATCTAGCAAACTTTCCATATAGCGTAAGCATATAATTGCTTCAAATAGGTATTGACAAGATGAATATTCTAACAATTGAGCTTCCACAAAGAAGTAACCATTTTCAAAAAACATTTGCCTACTAGATGTCAGATTTACAAAGCAAATCTGATGGAAAACCTACCATTTTTATCTCAGCTGCTTCTTCTGATCATATTTCTGCAGCATGTACAAAATTATCAATCAGAACCATATTGTCAAATGGTGGAGCCCACCACTAACACATGTGAAGGAAGTATCATTCTTGTAAACACTGTTGTACAGGCAAATACTTATCATACATTTTAACAAAACTGTTTGTTTCCAGAAAAAATAAACTCCCTTAAAAATCATGCGATTTGCTGGAGGAGGTAAAATGTGTTGATAATTTTCAACCAAAAAAAAGTAACTTTGTCACTTTTTGTGGCTAGATTCAGCTCTAATGTGTTATCTGTAAACCTAGCAACAGGTTGGAATGGATGCAAGTTGACCAGAAAAACTGTGGCTTCAAATTTAATAAAGCATATATAATGCAGTATCCAAAAAGGAGACTCAGACAGAGCAAGCAGGGAACACGTCAGCCAACAGATCTTCCCAGCTCCAGCCCTTTGCGTGGGGGTTTCAGACAGTCCTGGTCATTTCAAGCAAATAACATCATCTGCAGGCTGAATGGGCCATTGTAGAAGCTGGAGGAAGCATAATATATTACTTCCTGCAACGATAGTCCAATGATTAAAATATATTTCCCTTCATCTAGAGACCAGATATTTTCTTCACTAACTTCTCACATAACTTTTCTCAATTCTTTGTCACATAAAGATATTATAAGAATACTACATTATAGGAAGCAGCATATCAATTTGATATTTGGTGAATACTGCAGATTATTTTTCTCATGAAAACATGATTAGAGGTTACGCAAAACACATTTGCTTACCCCTCACTACCAATGATGCCATTATTCAGGTCTAATCACGTCTGATAACTGTATAACTGTGAATGGATGAAGGTTAAATGCTATGATTGCACTGGGAGAATTCCTAGATTACTTCAAAAAACAACCCACGTAGTTGGTGTATGCTGGGTAAAAAGGATAGGTGAGAGGTGGCTCCTAGTAAACTCTATCACTCTGTTAACCTTTCTTGTTCTTTATTTTGCTTCCTTTTTGGCAGAGAATTAAGAGTTCCGGCTAGTTCCTTCTGGTACCTTTGCTCAATGCATCCAGTGGGTACTACACATAACTCAGAGTTTGATCTTCTGCATTGTTCAAAATTTATCAGCTCAGCAAGGGCCAGAACACTCT